CACGTGAGAATGGCTCAGCTAGTGAGGCATGCTTCCCCACCAAAGCTGCTCAGTGAGCTCCCAGCTCCACTTCTGGTGACCATCATTAGCTTGCAGTCCCGGACCTTTCCGCGTTCCCAGGCAACTCTCCTGTCCCAGAAGCCCAAGGCAGACTTGGGCTGCATGTCCTAAGGAAACCATCACTCAGGGCGCAGCCCTGACCTGCAACCTCCCGAGTCCCAGCCACCTCCAAGGCAGTCTCTCCGCCCTCCCACCCAGCCCAGGTCTGCTCCCTCCATGAGGGACCAACACCCCGCACAGAGCCTCAGGCTGCTTTACACCCTGCACCAACCTCCAAGTCAGAGATGCAGGAGAAGATCCAGCAGGGCAGGACTCGCGCCCAACTTTGGGGAAAACGCACATGTGCAGACCATATCCGGAAAAGGCTCTCCAGGATGGTTCTCTGTGATGTCACAGTCGCACGGACTACATTTCCCAGAAGTCTGAGCGAAGGAATTCCTGGAATCCTGAGTGGGTGATATTTACTGTCCCTGCACTCCATTCTGTCTGCCTGCAGTAGAGATTGGGAGAAAGAAGCAAGAGTCTGCACAGCTGTTGGCCTGAGAAAAAGCAAGTGCACGAATGCCTGAATAAAGCAAGCTTTATTTTACAGGAGCACCAAGCTTTCTCTCCCAAAGTCGGTATTTCAGAGAGCAGCCCCTCACTGCGTTTTGTGGTCCATTTTGAGACAAGGATGGGGTTAATAACAAACAGCTGTCAAGATAATTGGTCATTATAAAAGAGGAAATTTCTTTGAAGTGTGGTTTCTTAACAACAATGTGACTGTTTTTGTCTCAAACAGCCATGGGGACTGTCTGGTGTTCTCCTCCAGATCCACAATAGGAGATTCACGAATGGGACTCAAGACTTGGACTTTAACATTAGGCTCAGAAGTCATTTCTGGTCCTTGTGTTCTGATTGAATCTTTCCATAGCGTTAAAAATCACATTAAGTCAGTTCTTTAAAATGGTGAAGCAATATTGTGAGGAGTAATCTTTTTGTACACTGTGAAGATCTGTCTTTGCCAAGGGACCTTCTGATTGGTTTAATATAAAGCTGAATGGCCAATTAGCGAGACAGGAGAAAACAGGTGGGATTTTTGGGTAGAGAGTAGATGAATCTTACTGCACAGAGAGGCCAACTAGATGTGGTACATGTCAGGCATACCTGATTGCTTTCTTTACTCACAACAGTAAAAACCCTGAGTCAACATAGGTGTCCATGAATTAATGGAAAATACATGTTTATTACACACAAACACATAGAGGGGAAAGGTATAATCACAAAATTTACAGAAAAATAATGGACATCAAATGTCTATTAGTTGAAGACACCCAGTCATATAAAGAAATATACTGCCATGTTCCTCCTCATATGTGTTATCTAGACACTAATACATGTACATATGTGAAGAGTTGTCTATGTGGGTACAGCATGTAAAGTGGAAAAGAGAATGAAGTTTGAGTAGGAGGATAAGGAAGGATTTGAAGCAGGTAATGAACATGGGTCAGGAAGAGAACATATATGATTTTCAGGGTCCAACTCCCTCATGGATTTTAGTTTTCATGGTGTACAACACAAAATATATGCAGGCAGATGATGTCAAATCCAATGTGAAAGCCTCAGGTTCTGTTCTGAATGTGTTCTAACTGTATGAACATTCATCACTTTAGTAGCATCACAGGCTTTCTCTTGGGCCACCAATCAGCTCCCAAATAGTGACATAGCACCGGTGGCTCTTTTGGGAGGTCCCCATACCATCACTTAAACGGGCTTATGAGTAGCACGTGTCAGAACTACCACTTAGCAGTTAGCCACTCATGTGATCAGCCAAAGATAGAAAAGTGAAATAGGTTCGGACCAAAAAAATTAACAAACAAAACAACCAAAACAAAAAACCTACAAATGAGTTAAGTGTGTTTAAAAATATACATAGGCTTAGGAGAGAAACAAAAAAGGGCACAGAAAGTATGTAAAAGGGAAACCGAATAATAAAAATAATAAGCCATGTAAAGAAGGAAAATACACAATCTGGATTATGTACATTGTGTTGCCTGTTAATGAGCAAATAAGTGCTGAGAGACATTTTGATTATGAAAGCTGCTAGGTTATACCAACCTATATATTTTATAAATACCTTGACTGCAAAATTTAAGTCAAAAGATGTTACTATGGGGAAAAGGTCCTGCTTTTATTTTAAAAAGAAATGAGAGGCTCTGGATTCATTCTTGGTTAGGAAAAATCAGATTTGATGGAACACCCCCTGAAAAATCTGACAGGAACAGATGGCCCTGATGACCCAACATTTCAGAAAGCTTCTGTTGCAGTTTCCTCTGGGTTTTATAACAGCTTCAAGGCTGCTGGCTGAGATGATCCAGACTCACAGGATACTACAGTCAGGACTAGACCATAATCCTAAATTTTCTCAGGGTCTCCCAAAAGATTACTACTGCCCCCAAACAACAGGAAGTAGTGTTGAGAACTATACCCAGATTCTCCCAAAATCGATTATTAATATTAGTCTTTGTTTAGGAGGCTGATTATAAATTGATATTGGTCACAGTCAAAAAAAAAAAGACTAAAGAAAAGATTTAAATTCAGAGATCTCTTTCTAAAAGAAGGGTGGTATGATATAGAAATGATAGAATAAAATGGTAGATTACTGAATCTATACTAATCCAAAAAACAATTACTAATCTTAAATATTTTATATTCGTATAGATTTTGGTTTATTGGAACAAATTTAGTTTTGTTGTACTGTATATTTCTATTCTTGTTTAAGGTATATTTATGCCACTCACTTAAAAATAAGTATAATTAAGAAATATAAAGTTAATCATCTATAATCAAACTTACAGACATGTTAGGTATGTTTTCAAAGTCATACAGATATATTTACATAGATGGTCTTCAAACACTTCAAAGACCTACAACATATGGCATTTAATGTTTAATAATGTAAGGCTTTTCATGAGAGTGAGAAATGAATGCTCCTGGCAGCAGTAATCTACTTCAGAGAAGATGGTGAGCATAAAAGAAACTCTGTAAAGAGTTTTTTTTTTTTTTTAAATGGAAAAAGCTAGCCAGTGGGCAAAGAAAGTGACCATGCCTCAATTGCTGACAGTTACTGTGATCTGGACCAGTACAAGGCGAATGCTGAACTTTGCCAAGACAAGATAGGACAGCCCTTTGAAATTTCCTGCTTCCCAGGAAGGAATGTCAGATATGCTAGGACTGTAGTTCAGAGCTGGATGCCCTCATGTTGCAGAGGAACTTTGGGTGACTGTCTAAGCAGCTAAATAGATAATAATTTTCTCTAATTTTGCCAATTACAAGTAACACTGGAAATGATAACTAATTCTTACTTAGTAACTGTTTTGTCATTTATAATTTTACTATGTTGAAGTTATAACCTTCCTTTTTCATTAGACAAAAGGGGGAAATGCTGTGGAACAGTCCTCTTGAACACTGTGAATACTGGTCACACAAATTGGTACAATAAAACACTGACTGGACAATAGCCAGGCAGGCGGTATTGGCAGGGTGACCAAACTAAGGATGGGAAGGAGAAGGGCGGATTCAGAGAAGTTACCAGCAAATACAAGGAAACAAGATGAAAATGCTCTACTGGGAAGGTACCAAGCCATGTTGCTAAACATAGGTAAGAATTATGGGATAATTTAAGAGTTAGCTAGTAAGTACAGGACAGGTTAGCTAGAAAGTTTATGATGAGTTAGCTAGGAAGGCAGCTATTGAGTGTAAGGCTGTGTAAAGTCAAGACAGGAAACCTCTGTAAATGCTATTGCTCCCTCAGCTGATGACTGGGCCTTCATGTTGGTTTAACTAAGGTCTATCCTTTTATTTTACCAGTAAGGATTCAGGAGCCAGATGCTGTGTAAATAACCTGATAGAGATATTCCAAGAGGAGATATTCCAGGAGCTTGGATGACTCCACTGGGAAAAACATCAGTTAACTGTGCCACAGCCCAGACCTTAGATTGCAGGAAAACAATGGACAAAGTTATGACATGGTAAAGGTTTCATGAAACATTTACAGTTACAGAAGAAAGAGACTCACTAATCAAAATATGTTCCCAACATACTACTTGAACAAACTGTTGGGGGTTACTGCAAAGAGAAGTCTCTACTGTTCTCTCATAACAATGTTAGCATTTGTACTCTGTTAAGCTAGATGTTCATGTTGACTTTGCAAAAATAATCAACTTGATATTCTCCACTATGGATTCATTTGAGTTGGATAATGTAGTGATATATTATTTATGATTTATTAAAGCTTGCATGAGGATTCAGAAAGCAAAGTCAGCCTCAAGCCATAGAAGCACACACCTTTGATCCCAGCAGCCAGAAGGTGGTGGTACATAACTGTACTCCTAGTACTCAGGATCAAGAGGTAGATGGATTTCTGTGAGTTCAAGGCCACCCAGATCTACACAAGATTGATACAGTCCTAAAAAGAAATAGCTCACACAAACATGATTACAGCACTTGTGATCACACACCTTTAATCCAAGCATTAGGGAGGAATATAAGACAGGAGCTAGGTCTCAGTAGGAGGCATTCATTCTCCAGTCACACTGATAGATACTAATTCAGCAGCCATACTGAAGATAGGAAGACATTCTCCAGCCACACTGAGGAGAGGCAGCAGTTTGAGGGTTGGTGAAGAGCTCATGGATGAGCCCTTTCAGCCTGAGCTAGAGGTGAGAAACAGTGGCCGGCTGCTTTGCTTTTCTGATCAGCTTGACATTTGAATCCCAATACCAGTCCCAGTCTTTTATTTCTTGTGTTACGGGATAAGATCTGAGTTTTTAGCAAAGATTTTTACTACACTTCACACACTCACATACTTTGTAGTCAGAATGAATCATTTCATGTGTTTTAAGGGTGGAACAAATAAACTTTTTAAGACATTTGTAGGATTTTTTGCTGTATGAACTATATCATGTGTTGAGTAAAATATAAAGATTTACAAAGTCTTTGTTGCATTCTGCACACTACTAGGGATTGTCTTCAGAATGAATTTTCCTTTTTCTTTTATGTTGTTTAAGGCGTGAAGATGAGGAAGCACATCTGTCCCAATCTTCACTCTGGTTGGGTTTCTCTCCATTATGAACTTCCTTGTGCCTCCTAAGGGACGAGTGACAATGAAAGGCTTTCTGACATTCTTCACACTTGTATGGTTTCTCTCCAGTATGAACCGTTTGATGGTCTTGAAGATTCCTAGAATAGGAAAACCGTTTGCCACATTGTACACATGTATAAGGATTATATTCAGAGTGGATTTTTTTATGGCGTCTAAAAGATGCTAATGAGTAAAAACATCTGCCACACTCTTTGCACTTGTAGGGTTTGTCTTTACGGTGCATTGTTTGATGTCGCCGAAGAGATGAAGATAAGTAAAAACATTTGCCACATTCTTCACACTTGTATGATTTCTCCCCAGTGTGAATTTTCTGATGGTCTTGAAGCTTTACAAAACAGTAAAACCTTTTCCCACACTCCTCACACTTATATGGATTTTCTTGAGAGTGAACCACCTGATGTTGTTTAAGGTATGAAAATAAGGAAAAACATCTGCCACACTCTTCACACTTGTATGATTTCTCCACAGCATGAATTCGTTGATGTGCCTGGAGGAATGAAGGAACATAAAAGGCTTTGCCACATTCTTCACACTTGCAAGGTTTCTCTCCAGAATGAATTCTCTGATGTTGCTTCAGCATTGAAGGATAGTAAAATGATTTGCCACATTCTTCACACTTGTAGGTTTTTTCATTAGTATGATTTTTCTGGTGTATAAAAAGTGATGAGCGCGTATTGAAGGCCTTATGACATTCTTTACACTGGTAGGGTTTTTGTCCAGTGTGAAGTCTTTGGTGTATAGAAAATGTTTTATAAGAACTAAGGCCCTTACCACATTCTTCACATTTGTAGGGTTTCTCCCCTGTATGAATTCTCTGGCGTTGAATACGTAGTGGGTTACAATCAACGTCCTTGTTATATACATTTTTATTCTTGGGTCTTGTTCCTGCTGAAGAAAAGTTGAGATATGAACAAATGCTCGGAAATATTCTTTATACTTACAATGCTTATCTTTTTAAAAGGAAACATTTACTCATACATATTGAAGAATCAGTGAGAAACTACGGTATATTCAAGCCTATAGGCACTAAATATAAATGATAAAATACTGCAGATAGAAATAATCAATACTTCAGCTAGAATGAGAGCACAACCAAATAAAAGGATAGACATAATGGTATATTCAACATTTGGTAGCTAAGTAAGTTTTAAGGACATTTTACTAACAGAAATAAACACATTAAACAATAGAGATGTTATATGGCTGAACACCCATTAAATTATAAAGAAGACAAGCCTGGAAAAAATAAAAGTTAAATGTGATTGTGTATGTGAATTTGAGCCATCATCTAAATACATAATTTTTATCCTCTATATAGCTTAATTTTAAAATCAGAAGATATGCTGTACAAGAAGTAGATGGTCTACAAGTTTAACAAGTTTAAGCTTATAGCTCACAAATTCAGAACACTATTTCATTTTTTATTTGAATTACAAAAAAGTATATACCTGAAGCAATCAAGTCATGATAAACAAAAACTTGAGGTTCACCTGTGAATTTCACAAATTTTGCTGACACAATATATTTGTCAGTGAATAAATAATAAACTCATTAGATCAGGCTAGCTGCAAACTTGAAGATCCAGCTACTTCTGCCTCCCAAGTGCTGGGATCAATGGAGTAGGTTAGCATGCCCAGGGGGAAAAATTATGTACTTCCAAAGATTTATTCATTTATAAGAGAAATAGCTATTGAGTCATAAATAGAGATGTGGGTGCCCATAAAGATGGCTGCACTCCATCTTGGCACAAGGGCAGATAGTTCAAAGCTGTCAGCAAGTCACAAGACTTAAAGGTCAAAGGTGTGGCTACAGAAGGATGTTTCAGCCATCTTAGTCTAAATAACAACAAACCTGAATCTGAGGTGTGGCTACTCCTGACCTCAAGGCTAGGGAAGGAGAGGTTGGAGCTAAGGTGTGGTTACTGAGCCCTTAGAATGAGAAAGGAAGAAAAGTCTGTTCCATATACATGATACTGTGTTCCCTTTTTAACTTATAGTATATAAGAGTGGTGAAAAATAAACTCGTGGCATTTCAGTATTGACCTATCTGCCCTCTTGACCGTTATCCTGTCTCTCTCTCTTTCTTTATTATCTATAGCTAGCCTCTCCCTCATCCACATTCCCCCACTCAGGTATGGACGTGCAGCCGCTCAGCTGGCTCTGATTGCAGCCCTGCAAAGACAGCTCCCGATATAGAGAGACAATGAACAAGCCATGCAAACAGGAGACTCATGTTTACCCATGAAGTAGAAATATCACAGAGCAGAGCTTGTACATATTTTGTAATCTTACACAGCCCTTGTGTGTCTTATCCATCCACCAAAATATATAGGGAATATATAACAAATGATTAAACATTATACACACTTTCAAAATAAATACCAAAGAATATCAAATTGCAAAGTGAAGAAAAAAAAATTTGAACGCACATAATGTTGAAAACTATTAAACATACATTCCTAGTCACAGAGACTTTGAATCTTTGAATATATATCCACAAAGGGCATGCATTTTAAGTTCTTATTAATGAGTATGTGATAAAGAAAAAATTTAGAAGATAGCTTCATCAAAGACAAAGAACCCTGATGATGTCACTTTCGTCAACATGAGTGCAAGTGACATAAAAGAAACTCATGTGTGAAGTTAGTTTCTTACAATGATTTCACACCTAGTTATTTAGAAACGTGTGCAATGTTTTACATGTGAAGAAAATATTATAGATTCTGTCAGTGAAATGCCCCAAATGACTTGATTTTGTCTGAGTTTTATCCAACTGCTCCCCCAACCAAACAATCCTGTTGAGAAAATGTTCTCGTGCAGCCTTCCTGGCAGCTTAGAAACATCCCCTGGTTTACATCATAAAATAAATTATTTGAATCAGTGGAACTAAAAGTTTTAGATTTTGGGCCTTGGGCCTACATCTAGTATGAGTAATTTTGGGCTTAGTTTTATAAATCCAATCAAATAAGGTTAAAGTGTGCTGGAAGGACCAATGCATTTCTTGACACAAAACCCAACCTTGTCCTTCTGGTCCTCCAATGGGGTAGGTGTGGGTGTTTTTGTCTGGTTCAGATTCTGGAGGGGGGAAAAATCCTGACAGGAACTCCCTCCCTGTGTCTCCTGCTGAGAGGAAAGGTGTGGACTGAAGAAGTAATGGATACATTTTTCAGTTAAACCCAGGTCTTCCCTCATTCTGTAGATGCTGAATGAGTGAATGCACAGTACCCTCCATCTATGCTGTCTCAGCTATGGCTCTGTGACTTACTTTCTGTCGTCCTGACCCCCTCGTGGAACACACAATCTGTCACTCTTTGGGGTCACTTGGATTCAAGGCTCCTGGATCTGCTGTCCCCTGCCTGTGCTCCATGAGCCATGTGCCACCTTTTCTGAGGCTCTATTAGTGGGCCTGGGCAAGCCCAAGTCTATTCCTCTTCAAGCTTTTCACCCCCGGCCCCGAGCTCTCCCTTATGGTATTCCTTAGGATGATACAGCCACTGAAAGGAGAAGGTCTGCAGATTTTATAAAGAACAGAATAAAGGGATCAGGAGGTTAAAGTTCGTAGTCCACCACGGACTGTGTTTATCTTTATGGGTATAAAAAATTTTCAGTTCAACAACTGTAATTTTTTGCACAGGTAAATAAATTTCATTTGTTAAATCCTTGACTGATGTGAGAGTCCCTATTTTATTGTAAGTTGTTACAAAGGTAATTAAGACATAATAGTTTATGATGAGTGACCTAATGAATCATGAAATATACTGAGTGACCAAAGTTGTGTTCATAGTCATGCTAAATACAAATGTAATTCATTTCCAGACACAATATTAGAGGGAAAGAAAAATTTCTACCTTCCACTATGGAGTCCCCTGTACATGTCATCAAAGGTAAGTCTACAGCAGGTAACTGAAACAAATTCAAGTTCACCTTGTCTTTGCTTAATGTGAAATGATATTAAAATCAGATATACTTAAAGTTATCGGGCCTGGAGTTGTGACATACACCTTTGATCCCAACACTCAGGAGCAGAAGTAGGAAGATCTTTCTGAGTTTGGTGCCAACCTGGTTTACAAAGCCAGTTCTAGGACAGCCAGGGCTACACAGAGAAGCCCTGTCTTGAAAAACAAAACCAAAGAAAACACCAACAAAACAGAACAAAAACAGAGAAAGCTGGTTTTTGAAATTGAATGCTCGAGTACTTTTTCATGGAAAGATACACCCAGGAGAGGTTAGCACACTTATCCTAAGACACACTACATTAACTACATTGTCAACACAGCATAGGGATGTGTGGGGAATAGGAGTGTCAGTGTCTATGGCTCCTGCCTTCCTCTGGTCTGGAAACCAGAGCAGGAAATCCTAGTCCTGATCTCTAGGGAAGATGAATCAATCTTCAAGTCCCACCAGACAGGGGGTGGACTCCCTCACACCGAGGAGGACCTTAGACTCTTCACCACACTCTAAATGTGTCAAGTAATGGAGATACTCACTGCATCTTATCGGCACTCCATGTTTCCTGAACTGACAGTTGAGGGTACTGAGAGGAACCTTGTACCTATACCTGCCACCCAACTGGTATGGGAACTACACTCTAGTTCAAACGGCAATGCCCTGTCCCCTGGCTTTGAATTTCCTCCTCTTAACAAAGCCAATCCCAGGGCTGAGATGTCAATGCCTGATTGTGTATGGAGTCCTCAGCAAAGTGGTAGATAAGACATGACAGAGGCTCAACCACAGGGCCAGTGGGCACAGCAGGCTCAACTCTGGGCACTACTGAAATTAAGACACCACATCAGTAAAGACAGCCATACGGCCTGAGGAGGAGGTGAGGTGGACTGTGAAAGTTCACCCAGGGCGGTCATTCTAGTCACCTTCCAGAGACGTCTGGGACCAGCTCCTCTGCTATGGAACCCTCTTTTTTTTTTTTTTTTTTTTTTTTTTTTTTGGTACAATCACTGACATTGTTAATAGCTAGACAAGATGTTCTGGGCAGAGCAAATGCTGGGTTATACTATATGTAAGTTTTTACTCTTGTTTGGAGTATTGTGCTTATCTAGCTCATTTAAAAATGTAATGTATAATTAAAAATACAGGACAGTAGTTAATCATATATAACAGTCAAACTGATACTCATGTTAGGCTCAATTTCAAGGTCATAAACAGATATATTTAGGTAGATAGATGGTCGTCAAACACTTCAAAGATCTACAGAATATGGCATTTTAAATGTCTTAATACAATAAGGCTTGTCATGACAGTAATACTTGTCTGCTCCTGGCAGCACCAATTTACTTCAAAGATGATGACAGGCATTGAAGAAACTCCAAAGGAGTTTGCTTTTTTGATAGCAAAAGCCAGGCAGTAGGGCAAACAAACTGCCCTTTCCTCAGTTGCTGACAGTATATTATCCAGACTGGACAAGCAGAATGCAGAAGAAAGCAACTTTAAACTTTGCCAAGACAAGGTAGGACAGTCCTTCAATATTCCCTGCTTCACAAAAATGTCTGTCACACATTCTAGGCCTGTAGGCCAAAGATGGATACCCCATTGTTATAGAAGAACTTTGGATGATTGTCCAGGCAGCCAGACATCCCTGTCATTATATAACATTTCACCCTTAAGGGTCTTTGATGGAGTTAAGACTAAATAATTAGATTTGAAGTTTTCCTTAGTTATAATAACAGGTAAATTAGAAATAAAACTTTTTTTGACTTTCAAAGATAAGATAGATAATATTTTCCCTAAATTTGCCAAACAGAAATGAACTGGACATTGTAATTGTAGTTAATTGACAAGTGTTTTTCTTACATATACTTGTACTATGTTAAAGTTAAAACCTTCCTTTGTAATTAGACAGGAAAAAGAAAGGCTGTGAGATAATCCTTCTGTATACTATGAAGATGTGTTACTCTCATTGCTAATAAAAAGCTGATTG